AGTCCAGTGTGAAGGTGTGCAGTGCTGCAGTCGACTCAGTACCAGGGGGCACGGACGCACTAGCACCTAGGGCTGCAGCCTCACCAGGACCTGTGGGAGCGGACGCACTAGCACCTAGAGCGGCAGCCGGACTGGCCTGAATGCCCGGGTCGGGCGGAACACGCAAGTACTGAGCACCCTCTCCACTAAGAGACATCGCATACATGGCAGTGAGAATAGCATCAAAGTCTAAAGCCCAAATATCAACACCCCTCTTTTCCAGCTCAGCCCAGCGTGGCAGCTCAGTGGCACTAGGAAACTGGGTGCGCCACGCGTCGTTAAGGCGCGCGAAGCAGCGCTGCGTGGGGTGCGGCCTCCCACATGGCTGGCCGCTGCGGTCACCTGTGCGAATAACGTACGTGCAGGTAACGCCACGCTGCGCATACCACTCACGGGCGGCCTGAAGCGTCGGGGCGGGCTGCTGACTCTGCCCTCCGCCAGTGCCTCCACGACCACCACCCCCACCGCCTCCGCCCCGGCCACCTCCACCCCTGCCGCCACCACGACCACCTCCGCCCCCGCTGCCGCCTCCGCCCCTGCCACCACTCCCGCCGCTGCTGTCTCCTCCCCCACTGCCGCCACCGGCCTCCTCAGCCGCGCCTCCACTCCCACCGCCTCCACCCCCACCTCCTCCGCCGCCACCCCCACCCCTGCCCCCCTTGTTCCTGCGGCGCCCGCTCGAAGCAGACGCGGTCCCGACCTTCTCAGCACCGAGGAGGTCGACAGCAGCAGCAGAGGCGACAGAGGGGAGGAGGGGGGAAGGGGAACACCCCTCAAAGAACGGGGTGCGGGGGTCGCCACGAGAGGTGCCTACAGCGACGATACTCGCCTCAGCTGCAAGCAGTTCCTTCTCGAGGAGGGCAACAGTGAGCTCAGTGGGGGAGCGAGAGAGGAAGTGGTCCCTGACTGCGCGCAGAGAGTCAGGGAGGCGGGTGACGATGTGGTAGAGAGTGATCCAGAGCGGGGGGGGTTGCTAGTGAGAAACTCGGCAGGCATAGCAGCGCGAAAGCGGGCCTCACTAGTCTTAAGGTGGGTGATGAGGTCTGCGACAGTGTGAAAGGAGGCTAGGTCGGGGAACAGGTAGGGGAGAGTGAGGCGGCCTAGCGTGGCAGAAGCGGGTGAGGAGTAGCGGGCAACTACAGCGGTGTAGAGGTCCTTAGCAGTCTTGCACTGGCCGAAGTGCTCGCGCTCGTCTAGCGGCAGGGAGTTGCGAATAGCAAAGCGAGCATGCGCATCACGGGTCTGCCACTGGGAACGCAGAGTGCTGTCAGCAGTCGAGTCAGGGGCAGTGGCATGGCCTAGGGCGTGGTCGTACAGTGAGATATCTTCCTTGGCAGTGAGCTGTAGGAACAGGTGCAGGTCATCTAGCCAGGTTTCGAACTTCACCGGACGGCCCTCGGCATCGAAAGCTAGAACGGGAGGACTAGCCATAGCGACAGTAGCAGTAGCAGTAGTAGTAGGAATCAGGCCGCTGGAAAGGTGTGCGGAGGGTCAACGGGGCCGGCGGGGCCGCTAGGTAAGGCGCGGGCGGGGTCGACTGTCCGTAGTGGCACACGAGCGGCAATAGTAGGTAGCGTGGCAGCAGGAGCTGCAACGGCGCACTGGTGGTAGCTGCAGTGGTAGCAGTGTGCGCGGTAGGTAGTAAATAAACAGCAGTGAGAGCGAGTGCCTCGCGGGCGGCGGCTGCAGAAGCGCACGGGCGGCAGCGGCGCACGGGGAACGGTGGCGCACGGGCAATGGCGGCGCACGGGCAGCGGCAGCGTAGGGGCAGCGGTGCGCAAGCAGCAGCGGAAGCAGCGGCGTGCAAGCGGCTGCGGGCAGCGGGGCGTGCGCGAGCAGGCGACGGGCGGCTGCGGGGCGTGTGCGAGCAGGCGACGGGCGGCTGCGGGGCGTGCGCGAGCAGGCGACGGGCGGCTGCGGGCGGGCGGCCGCTGCGACGGCGGGCTGCGGGCCTGCGGGGCGTGCGCGAGCAGGCGACGGGCGGCTGCGGGGCGTGCGCGAGCAGGCGACGGGCAGTAGCGGCGCACGGCAGTGGCTGCGGCGGCGGCAGCGAGCACGGCAGCAGCAGCAGCAGCAGTGCACGGGCGGTAGTAGCGGCGGCAGCGGCTGCGGGCACGGCAGAAACGCGGGAGCGGCAGCGGGCGACTCGCGGGCAGCAGCGGCAGCAGCAGCGGGGGACCGGCGGGCGGCAGCTGCAGCGGTGCAAATCGCGGGCCGGCGGGGCCGCGGCGGGCTGTGCGCTAGCGACGCAAAGGCGTGCGAGCAGTGCGCGGGCAGTGCGACGGGGCCGGCAGCGGGCAGCACGCAGGCCGCGGGGGTAAAATGCGGGCTGCGTGCGCGGTGCGCGGGCCGGTAGCGGGCGGTGCGCGGGCCGTTAGGGGCGATCGCAAGGCCGACGGGGCCGCTAAGGGGCGAGCGGCGGGGTCGTTCGAGGCGCTAAGGGGCGGCGCGACGGGGCCGTGAGGGGCCTCTAGGTCAAATGCGACGGGGCCGCGGGGCCTCTAGACGGGGCTCGATCGACGGGGCCAGCGGGGCCGAATAAAAAATAATGAAGCGCTCGAGGGCGCTACGGGGGAGGCGCTAAGAACGCGCTCCGGTAGTAGGTAGGTAGTTAGGTAGCGAACGGTGGGCCCTTAGGAACGGTCCTAGAGAAGGACCTGCTCTGAAACCATGTCGAAATAACAGACTGGAATGGCTGTACTAACAGAAGGCTGGATACAAATAGGAAACCCTAATCCAGTGTACCCCCTAAGGCGTAACCCACTACAGCCTACAACCATATAAACATATAATGTTTGACACGAGGAAGCAACTACGGGCGGATGGGGTGTTGTTCCAACACCAGAGGAAGGCGCTGTCGCTGGTGGTGGCTGGGAAACCTCAACAACCGAAGAAGGATGGGGTCGGAGCCGGCCGATTCCCCCATATCCCCAAGCTCCGGCACTTCCTCCTGCGGATGTTGCGGCGGTCGATCCATACTGGGCAACACACGGAACTAGCTGGGGCGGACCTCCTCTTCCAGATCAATATGCTCCTGCCACACCAGAGAACGTACAACAGGAGTCAGAGAAAGAAACCTACGAATTCTTCGGAGAAGGGACAGAACTATCTGAACCTACCAAGGAAGCGCCGCCGCCAGAACAAGGGCCCAAGTTGATTAAGGTCATCGGCGCCGAGCACAGCTACTACGTGTCGGTAGAGTTGCGTAGTCTGTCGGCTTCGTCATGATGACACGCCACCAATCCATGACGAGTCCTCGCACTAGCGACACGGCGTAACGAATCTTCGCCGTATCCTCCGAGACGTAGTTGGCGTCGAAAAACACGTTCATGGTGAATAACCACGCTGAACTGTATGACCAACCCGTTGACTCGGGTCAAAGCAAGGCGGACGCTGCGGCTTCAGCGGCATTGGCAACGACAGTGTTGACTCGCCAGTCGGCACCGAAATCGTGACATGAGCCTGGCTTGTTGCCGCATTCGTCGCTTCGGGGTGTGTTGTCGTGGTCTTTCCGTCGTTGCGGGCGACGCCATCACTAGCCGCGCTCGAGGGTTGCCCCACACTTCCGTGCTGTGATGCTTATAGTGCAGATTGTCCTGATGTGCCTGGTGCTTGCGATTGTGCTTGTTGTGCTCGTACGACGTCGTTTTGCAGGTACGTTTGTTTTGCCGTCAGTGCCGCAATTTCTTCGGTGCTTTCGTGCAGCTGCTGCATCAGTTGGTTCAGGCGCTCTTGCATGAGTGTCGTGACGTCGATATGCTCAACCATGTCGAACGGTGTCGACTCAGCTTAGTTTAGGCGCGGTCGTGGCTGCACGCGTTTACGAGAGAACGCGAGGACAGCGGCTCCTAGGGGTTAAGGGGCGTGAGTCCATTCGAGTGAAAAATTCAAAACTTGATTCCCTGGGGTCCAGAGATGCGCGAATCGAAAGAAAGTGGCTCTGATAACCAAGTGTTACGGGTGCAATAAATTGAGGTAGCGAGGATTGCACTAGGTGTCAAACGAGTACAAAGTATGTCCGAAGGCATGGCGAATACTTATACGCGAAATGCAAACGGTAACGCGGTACGTGTGAGCTAGCTGGTGCTAAGCTGGCAGCGAGGTTCCGGCAAGTCCCGAAGCATAGGTCAGCGGTGCAAGGTTTGATGAAACAGTTCGCGCGAAGTTGGCGAAGCCCCGTTAGCTGCAACGGGCGAACAACGGGTGTTGGTTTACGAGATGTTGACATTCGGGTTAAGGAATAGCGAGAAAATTCCTTACATATGGGCCTTCTGAACACAGCCACAAAGATGTTTGAATTTGTAATAAAGCGTACATTCTCGAAACGTTTGCGAGGACCACATGCGACAAAATAAATATCCCGAGCTGTGAGGGTCAGATCAACCAGCTTGTCCGCACAATCGCAACGTACAGTACCATTCGTCGATCTTCGACGTTTCGAGATGGAAGTCTATCGGCTTGTTATTCATACCCCTAGCACCCCGCCATCACCGCCTTAGCCAACCTAGCCATCAAACAAGGCGAGAGTCGGGAGGACTCGGGAGCCAAACCAGCAAACCGATACTGTTGTACCTGAACAGAACGGAACACCAAACCAAACCACCAAACAAGCAGGCGTGTCGCGGTGTGCAGTTCAACACTTGTTCAGGTCGTCAGAACGGTCTGGCCTGACGGTACGTGTGTATGCTCTATTCCTGCTGCGGAAACCCTATTCGCATGTCCTGAGTTCCTTCATCCCAGCAGCAGAAGTCCTTGCACTTTCTGCTCCGTCCGTCGCGGTCAACCCGCTTGCGCCGCTCATCATGGCCAACCCACTCCTCACGCCGTTCACTCTCCCGGACGGCACGGAGCTCTCGATGCGAATCGTCTACGCGCCGCTGACGCGCGATCGCGCTCTCGGGACTATCCCGCAGCCGAACGCCGCGATTTACTACTCGCAGCGCGCGCACAAGGGTGGGCTCATGCTCACCGAGGCCACGTGTATTTCGCCCGAGGCGCACGGGTATCCCGACACCCCGGGGATCTACACGGAGGCGCAGATCGCGGCGTGGAAGCCGGTGATCAAGGCGGTGCACGACAAGGGCGCGCGGTTCTACTGCCAGCTGTGGCACGTCGGCCGCGCGTCGCACCAAGGTGAATCCCGCTCGTGCTTCTTTATCCGACGACGTCGACCGATCGCATTGGCAATGTGAGTCGTTGTGCCGATGACCACTCATTGAGACGCCTCCAACATTGTCGCTTCGGCTGGTGGAAGGAGTCTCAACGTCGCGAGATTTGCGAGTTCGTCGTGCAAGGTGAGCCTGACGATAACCTCGACCTGGCGGTTTTCGACCTGGCGAAATCCCTCGCGTTTCACATTCGCGGAACCGCCCACATTGTCGAAAACTCGTAATAAAAACGATGCTCGTTTCCACACCGTACAGAACACTGCGTGCCCACCCGACAGTTCCTTTTCTCCCTCTTCGCGTCGATCGCTCATCACCAACTGTCGTTCCTCGTCGCTCCCACCTCTTCTCCTCCTCATTCATCTGCCCCTTCCCCCCTCCCCACTGCGCGCCGAGCAGAGTACCAGCCTGATGGCGCCGCGCCCATGGCCCCGTCCGCCATTCCCATCCGTAGCGTGGACAAAGTGTACATCAGCACCGGCGCCGCCGACTATCCCATCCCGCGGGCCATGACCGCGGAAGATATCAACAAGGTAGGGGAGACCGTCGAAGGTACGGAGCCGCGCGACTTCGCAGGTGCAGAGGCGGACGCGACGTGTCTTAGACGTGGCTGATTTCGTTCAAGGTAGGGCTGAAGCTCGAGGGCAGGGGAGGCTCCGCATTCGTGCTCGCTGCGCGACGCGGGTTCCACATTCGTGGTCGCTGCGCGACGCGGGTTCCGCATTCGTGCTCTCTGCGCGACGCGGGTTTCGCATTCGTGCTCGCTGCGCGGCGCGGGTTCCGCATTCGTGGTCGCTGCGCGACGCGGGTTCCGCATTCGTGGTCGCTGCGCGACGCGGGTTCCGCATTCGTGCTCTCTGCGCGACGCGGGTTCCGCATTCGTGCTCGCTGCGCAACGCTGGTTCCGCATAGTCCCATCTCCGCTATCGCCAGTATCGAACCTGCTCGTTCCACTTTACACTGGCTAACCGCACTTGACCGATCAGTACCGTGCGGCTGCGCGCCGTGGAGTTCGTGCTTCTTGCTCCCTTCGTCCCGTCCCCATGATTCACCCTTTCCCATCGTCGCGTCGCAATGTCCGGCACAGGTGACTCCAAGCGATCGTGCCGTACCGCGCGCCTGCGCCCCGTGTTGTATCCCCACGATACCCTTCCACTATCCACCCTAGGCATCCCGTTTCCATTGTTCACCTTCTTATTGTTGCAATGTCCCGCGCGGGTGATTCCAGGTGACGGAGCAGTTCCGCGTGGCGACGCGCACTTATTGTTGCAATATCCGTTCACTTTTTTCCTTCCCTCGTTGCAATGCCCGGCACGGGTGGATCCCCCAGGTGACGGAGCAGTTCCGCGTGGCGGCGCGCAACGCGATTGACGCGGGGTTCGACGGCGTGGAGGTGCATGGCGCGAACGGCTACCTGCTGGAGCAGTTCATCAAGGTGAGACGACCGCTCGTTGTCGTGACGCGATTGTGTGATTAATGCAGAATGGAGATGCTGGGAACTATCTACAGTGCAATATTTAGTTGGTTGAAGATATTTTCTTAGATTCCAGTCATTAGCGCCGAAACCACTTTTACTCGTCTCCTGCTCTCGTATTGCGGTGTAAAAGGGTGCAACGCGTTAGGAGTTAGTTGTACATGTGAGGTTACTGCGCTCTCAACTCTTTATGTCATAAGCCACTTGGATTTTGTTCAGATTTGCTCCTCTTACCAGATCTGCATTCACCACAACCCTGCCTGCCTCATCCACCGCTACCCTTCACCCAGCAAAGAGCCCGAGGACAAGTTCAGACACCTCACTCATTATCCCCCCTCTCAACAATTCACTGCCACTCTTTCTCCCCACCCCACCCCAACCCCTCAACCCCCATTCCTGTAATCCCGCGTCCCCTCGCCTCTCCACCTCGTCAGGACGGCTCCAACAAGCGTGAGGACGAGTTTGGCGGCTCCCTGGAGAACAGGCTTCGCTTCCCCCTGCAGGTGGGTCTAGCTGCTGCGCAGGTGGGTCTAGCTGCTGCGCAGGTGGGTCCAGCTGCTGTGACTTTGAAGAGATTGTGGGCTGATTGTGGTGTGTGCAAAGATCAGCCATGGGGATGAGTGCATGGGTCGCTGGAAATAGCCTGCCAATGCCCCCTACCTTGTTATCTTAAGACGGTGGGGCTGTAGCGAGACGTTGAAAACAGCCCCCTTCCCCCCCACCTCCTCCCCGCATCTCCTTCCCCTTTCTTCCTCCCGTCTCCCCCACATCCCCCCCCTTCCCCCCCTCACTCCCTTCCCCCTACCTGCAGGTGATCAAGGCAGTGGCGGACGAGCTGGGCGCCAGCATCCCCCCCTTCTTTCTCCCCCCATTTCCCACCCCCCCTCTTCCTTCCATCCCCCCCCCCTCTCCCCTCCCCCCTCCCCCCTCCCCCCTCCCCCCTCCCCCCTCCCCCCTCCCCCCTCCCCCAGGCGATCAAGGCAGTGGGCGCTAGCAAAGTGGCAAATGAGCGTCCTCCCCACTCCACCAGCCCCCCCCCCTCCCCCTGCCCCCCCCCCCCCCGCTTCCACCCCCAGGTGATCAAGGCAGTGGCAGACGAGGTGGGCGCCAGCAATTTGGCTCCAAACCCATCCCCCTTCCCCCCTTGCCCGCCTGCCACCACCCCCGTTCCCCTTCCCTCCCCTCCCCCCCAGGTGATCAAGGCAGTGGCGGACGAGGTGGGCGCGAACAAGGTGGGCGTGCGGCTGTCTCCCTACAGCACCTTCCTGGATGAGACCGACTCCGACCCCTCGTCCCTCCCCCCCCCCCCCACCCTCCCCTCCCCCTGCCATTCTCCCTCTGCAGGTGATCAAGGCAGTGGCGGACGAGGTGGGCGCCAGCAGGGTGGGCGTGCGGCTGTCGCCCTACAGCACCTTCCTGGATGAAACCGACTCCGACCCCGTGGGCACCTACGTGGGGATGGTGGAGCGTCTGAATGGCATGGGGCTGGCGTACGTGCACTTTATTGAGGCGCGCGTGCGCGGGAACGACGACATGGAAGTTGAGAAGGAGGTGAGCGGTGCTTGTGAAACAGTTGAGTGGGTAGTGGACAGACACTGGGATGGTGGAGGCCGTCAACAGCTTGGGCTTGGCGTTCGTGCATTTTATTGAGGTGCGCGTGCACGGAAACGATGATACGGCGACTGTGAAAGGAGGTGCGTGGTGGGTAGGTGGTGGGTGTGAGGGTTGTCTGGCCGTAAGGCTGTCTGGCTTGGCGTTGTGCACTTCATCAAGGCGCGCGTGCGCGGGAACGGTGGCATGGACACCGAGGAGGTGAGCGGCGAGTAGGTGGTGGGTGTGCGGTCTGTCTGGCTCTCTGGGTGTCTGACCGTAAGGCTGTCTGGCCAGGGGGAGGGGTGGGGTTGGGGGGTGAACGATGTGGGGTTGAGCTGTGAAGGAGGCGGGGTTGGGCTGTGAAGGAGGCGGGGTTAGGGTCGTAAGAGATGGTGGAGGTTAGTGTGGGTGGGCACATCGCACAAATCACTATATGCTTGCGTGCTTGCGCGCCTTGTCATTTGCAACAGGGCTTACGACATGCCCATGGGGTCTTATTTTTTCTTGATATCCATTGACGTGGGGCCACGTCACATACACACTTCACTCTGTGCTTCGCATCGCACTCTTCCATATCTGCAGACTCTGGAGCCATTCCGCAAGGCATTCAAGGGGCCATTCATTGCTGCCGGCGGCTTCAAGGTATGCTGGGTCCAGTTTGTTGTAACACAAGTGGTGCATTGGCGTGTTGGCTCCTCTGTTGTTGCAAGAGATGTTGCATGTAGGGCACTGCAAGCACCAGAGCGTGCCGTGCCATTGCTGATGTGCATAAGGTGAATGTCATGGAGTGATTGTAAGGCAATGGATGCTGTAGTTTCTTACGGTATTTTACAACACGTACATTTTGTGTGCTGCATTCTATCCATATTCTGTGCTTCCCTTCTTCCGCATGCACACAACCCCACCCTCGCCCGTCCCTATCTCCAACCCCCCTATCCGCCACTGTGCTCTCCTCTCCTGTCCCCTCCAATTTCCTACTGTTATCCAAATCTCCAGCGGGAGAGCGGCATGGCAGCGATAGAGAGCGGGGTGGCGGATCTGATCACGTATGGCCGGCTCTTCCTGGCCAACCCCGACCTGCCGAGGCGCTTTGAGCTCAACGCGCCGCTCAACCCGTACGACCGCAGCACCTTCTTCATCCCCGACCAGGTCAAGGGGTACATCGACTACCCTTTTCTGGACGAGGCTAAGAAGGCTGAGTAGATGGGCACTTGTGTCTGACAAGAAGCACGTTGGTTCCGCAAGTGCCGTCACGTCACAGATCAGGTCAAGGGTTACTATACTAATATCTGCTCCCGGACGAGGAGCCGGATAAGACTTATCGTAAAGGGATCTGCTACTATGTCAACAAGAACGTAAATGTTATTATTATGACACGGTTTGTTAGGGTAGGTCATTTGCAGTTAGGGTAGATCATTAAACATCTTAGAGAACCAATCAGAACAAATTTGGTGTACGAGACACGCTTTAGTGCTTACATCAATTCCTCAAGGAGCACGAGCAGCGCAATCAATGACAGGCCGCAAAACTGCCAGCGCCTGCAAAAAGGGAGTAAAAAGAAACGGGTTGGTGAAGCTGACAGGGCAGCACCACAACAGCAGCTCTGGACCACACAGCGGCTGTCACAATGCATTGGCATGGGCGCAGCAAGAAGAGCACATGGGACTGAGCGTCAGCCAATGTCCATTCGGCAGTTACAGGAGCTTTGGCGTCTCGAACTTCCTGTCGTGGCATAATTGCTGGAAGAAAAGCCAGAAAAGCGTTCAAGGCCCGCTTGTAGCATCCACACCCCACAGCATACCTTTGCCATATGGTTGCACGGGGTCGGAGCTGGTAAGCGAGCTCATGGTGGCGGGGAACACGGGGTCGGTCACAACAATCGCGGTCACGTTGCTCAACACTTGAGTAAAGCTGCTCATTCTAAACGCGGCTGCCACGTCCGCCACTGCTTTCGGCCCCCCAGCGTCACTCCCCGCTACGAGTCCACTCTTCATGTAAGAAGCGGAGTCGACAGTACCGCGGTCGGTCCCAGTGAAGACATGAACCAAGTCCGCGGCAAGCAAGGAGCCAGTGACGTTGGCGTAGAGATAAATTGGCTGATTCAGCGCCGTGCTAAAGCTGAACCGACCGTTCTTGTACTGCTTGGAAGGGCATAGACAAAGGGACGGTCTGCGAGGTGTCGTGAGGAGGAAAGAAAGGAGTGCAGAATTCAACCTTCATGTTCTAACATCTCCTATTGAGAACAATTGAAGCAAGAAGTAGGGGCATCCCACTATCAATGTTCTTTCCACGAGTGAAGAGACACTCACGTTGCCAGTTTGCATGTCGGTGGGTTGAATACATTGGCTAATCGCCATGAACTTGGCGAGGCGCGACAAGGCGTTCTTGGCGTTGGCGGACATGGCGTTGAGGGCCGACACGGACCCCGACGAGGACACCACCGTGCTGAGCGCCTCAAGAACCGGGTCCGACGAGGTTGTCGCAGATGGGTTGAGTGTCTTGTAGCCCGCGAGCGCGTTAGTCCAGCCGTCGTTGACGGGCAGAAGAATGGAACCGCCTGAAATGTCGGTGACATTGTCGTATCCGGCGGCGAATTCCACTATTCCCCCGGAAAATTCGACGGGATTGGGGCCCGTGTTGGTCGTGTTGCGGATCTGCGACAGAACGTAGGAGAGGGATAGTGACGCGGAGAAAAGCGCGGCGAGGGAGAGGGTGCGCGTCGACGATGGGTATCGGGCCATTGCTGCTGGTTTGCTGGTCACCAGCAAAAATGTTCGGGCCGAAAAGCCCCCCCTAGGCCACCCCGGGGCGGGGACCTGCGGGTAACCTCGGCCCCAATCGTTTCGTGTGGAGACCCCGAGGCCACCCACAGGCGGTGACCCACACATAACCCTCGCGTCACCCACAGGAAACCCCCGCGTGACCCCTTTGATACCTTCCCAACTTGTGGGAACGAATCGTACGCAAGCCGCGTACGCGCTGTGAACCGCCAGATGCAAAAGATTATTATACAGCGCAATTCATTATAAGTGATTGAAATACTGATCGTGCTATAGCTACATTTAGTATTGATAGCAATCAATTACAGACGTTGTTTTAAAAAAAACAAGAGGCGACCAAGTCGACATAGGGTTGCGAAGCTTATTTGTAAATAATATATTTTGTTCTACTACGTACTTTCCTAGATTTCTTAGACATGACACATATCCAATATTGTGTTGACATGAAAAGGTAGCAGCAAGAATCGAACCGGAGATTAACAAACGGCTTCTGATTCGAAATCCATACCACTGTGCTTCCACAATTGACTTTGAGGGGTAAAAATTAAAAACACGCACCTGTTAAAAATGTTGCATTCATACAGAAGGCCGCGGCAAGAACCGAACCCGAGACCATTGGATTAAAACAAAATACTCAAACCACTGCGCTAACAGAACTACCTTCCCCATCCAGGAAATTTTAAAAATTAGTTAGTTGAAGCCGAAAATTGAATTCCTTTCCCAACATTTCGTCTCTTTCTGGATCGTCAATGCCCTAGTTTCCTCCCGCGTCTCCCTCAACTCCCGCTCCTCCTACGACTGCAGCAGTCATATACTTACTAGGTAAGAATTTAAGGACTAGCGTACGTACTAACGTCTGCTAGTTCTTTTTAGACTTCAAGAAAATATTAGGAGCAGTTTCGTTCATGTTCTTTTCTCTAATTTGAACCAGTAAGTTCTAAGTTATCTAGAAACTTAATCGTTTTTAAGGATATCGTCCATTTCGACGGAACCGTTAGGTCGTTCTTAAATAATGTGTCTTCTCCCGTAAGTCCAACTGTGCTGCTCACGCTCTTAACTCCTAGAACTATCCTCTCATTTCTCTATCATGTCGTTTTCCTCCTTCCTTTTTATTCTTATCAGCTTAGACGCTCTTCTTTCGGTTTTTCTAGTATCTGTGCCCCATCTTCTCGTAGTTATGTGTGTGTGTGTGTTTTTTTTTCTGTCATACTTACAGGCTCTTTCTGTCTCATTTCTTGCAATGTTTCTTCTCCTCGCATCTCGCGTATAGTCCTCGTATTGCATGTTATCTTCCTTCCGTATTGGTTCCACTCCTACCTTCGTGCGGTTTTTGAATATGTCTTTCATAAGTCTACGAATGTTTTTTTAGAAGCCATAGTTTATTGAAGTCTCTCTCTCTCTCTCTCTCTCTCTCTCTCTCTCTCTCTCTCTCTCTCTCTCTCTCTCTCTCTCTCTCTCTCTCTCTCTCTCTCTCTCTCTCTCTCTCTCTCTCTCTCTCTCTCTCTCTCTCTCTCTCTCAAACTCTTTCGCTCGTTTATGTATCTATCAAAACGCTACTATATACGAGCTCATTTATGTTTTCTTCTTTCCTTGCCCAGATTATTGCGTTTCCTCTATGCGGTTATTATCACATCTGGTATTTTTATTCGTTATTCTCCTTTGTACTTCTCTTCCCCACCTGCCTACGTTTCAAATCCTGTAATTCCGTCGTATCGTAGTTCTCTAATGTGTCTCTGCCTCCGTCCTTTTTTCTGCCCCTTCTGCCCCGTTCCTTTCCCTTCCCACTACGTTTCCCCCCGTTTCCCTCCCAGGGTCTTCGCTATAACGTTCGGAGGCTAATGTGGAAATTAAAAGGATTTTGTTTGATTTTTGTTTGAAATGTTAATGATTGATGCTACTGCATTGTTATGTTAGATTTCTTTTAGGTTCATTTTCTGATTGTGACTCGTCTTTGTGTGTTAGGTTCTTTGCCCACTCAGTGAGTGTGTTCACTTGAACTGGATTTGATGGATTTTGATCATTTTTTTAGTTTACACAGATTGTGTTGTTTCATGTAACAGTTGGATGATTCAGGAACTATGCTATCGACTTCCCCCCCATGCTAGGCAGGGGATGCGGTAGCATAAGGTCTGGGTCAATTAACTGTCACGCATTTCCATCATGCCATGCATTCATTTCACTGCACCGGACCTATACCGAAATAAACAGAGCACATGTATATTCACCACAGTCGTATATGCATGTATATTTATGCATTTTGCACTCAATCATCATTATACTTCATCTATACATTATTTTTTACGGCATATGCATTACCGAATAAACGGTCACGCATTCACAGTTACGGTACATCATTTTGGCAAGTCATGTTTATGTTTCATCGATAAAGTATAGGTTACCAGTCAAGGCGAACTACCTAGGAAATGTGAAAGAATGTGGTACGGCACGTGCTAAATTGTCGTGGCAAATACACAGCACTGAATCACTTAGCCACGATTCGCTATTTTTTTTCATAAAGATAAAAAAAAAATTGTACATAACGATTGTAATAGGTTGCTTCGCAACCCAAAAAAACCTACAGAAGACACAATTCTGGTAAACCGCGTTCTGATAAAACCTACAAACCTTAAAAAAACAAAACCTACAATTCTAGTAATCACCTAATACATTGAAAACCGCATTCTGATAAAATAACAATTTTCACATGATATCAAGCAGATATATTTTTTCATATCATATCTCAAATATACAGGTTTACCTAACTGAACACTCTACCACGCACATAACGTGCAGCACGATTTATGTACTACAATTCTCTCTGTAGAGAGTTTCCACGCATAGCTTACCAGCAGTGATAAGGTTATATTGTCGTACTCCTGCAGCACACCATAACACTTAAAACGGGAACGAAACTATATCAATAGAGGGCATGACCTGGCGACATGGCATCACTCAGATTTCTCACCTCACGAGGGCGTGACAGCGTGACAGGGTCGCCTTGCGTATTCTGCACAGAATGGTACCACGAAGCAAACGGAATGAGCGGCGCTCATTCTGCAATCCCATCATCAGCATGTCAGAAAAATCACAGGCGGGTAGCTTACCTCACGACGAGCACTGTTTGGAGCCTCACTGCACATACATTGTTAAAAAGACACATATCACATGCGGTTCTGAGACTGCGGAATGCGGAGATAACTCTGTCAACGGGAGCTAGACTACGGGCTAGGCACGGGGCCAGAACTATGGGCTAGATCAGACTGTCAAATGTTGTAGCCTATAGTGAGGTTTGTCTTAGGGGGTACAAAACTTAGGGTTAGCTATATGTACCCCAACCAACATCAATGCATCATTCATTCCTCATTCTGACATGGTATCAGTTAGGTTAGGATCCTGTGGGATCCCGTTTCTCCGTTCTCCGATCGTACCACCCGAGCCTGATCCTAGCTCTCGTTTCGCCCGTCTTGCCCGAGCCTAGTGCCGGCCCGATCTAGTCCCGTTCGTTCGTTACCGCTCGTTCTTCCTCCCGATCTAGCGTAGCCCGATCTAGCGTACCGCTGCCGGTCGCGCTGCGCTTTCCCCCCCTGATCCCCGTCGAGGCGCGCTTCCCCCCCGCTGCCGTCGAACCGCGCTTCCCCCCCCCCCCCCCCCCCCCCCCCCCCCCCCCCCCCCCCCCCCCCCCCCCTGCCCGTCGAACCGCGCTTCCCCCCGCTGCCCGTCGACCCGCGCTTCCCCCCGCTGCCCGTCGACCCGCGCTTCCCCCCGCTGCCCGTCGACCCGCGCTTCCCCCCGCTGCCCGTCGACCCGCGCTTCCCCCCGCTGCCCGTCGACCCGCGCTTCCCCCCGCTGCCCGTCGACCCGCGCTTCCCCCCGCTGCCCGTCGACCCGCGCTTCCCCCCGCTGCCCGTCGACCCGCGCTTCCCCCCGCTGCCCGTCGACCCGCGCTTCCCCCCGCTGCCCGTCGACCCGCGCTTCCCCCCGCTGCCCGTCGACCCGCGCTTCCCCCGCCGCCCGTCGACCCGCGCTTCCCCCCGCTGCCCGTCGACCCGCGCTTCCCCCCGCTGCCTGTCGACCCGCGTTTCCCCCTGCTGCCCGTCGATCCGTCGCCCTGGCCCGCGCCCCAGCCCGTCTCCCCAGCTCGCGCCCTAGCCCGTCGCCCTGGCTCGCGCCCTAGCCCGTCGCCCAGGCCCGGCGCCTTTGCCCTACCCGCGCGCCCGCCACACCTGACCTACCCGCCCGCTCTTGCCCGCTCTTCCTGCCCGTTCTCCCTTGCCGCTGCGCCCTGCTTTCCCTGCCAATTCCGTTTGCACACTATGGCGACCCCTCGCGTCCTTCGTTTCGATGCTGACGGTCGCCCGCTCGATTTCCCAGTCTGGCTTCTTCGCGCTCGCCGCCTGTTAGAGAGTCAGGTCCAGGCAGGCGAGACCCTCTGGGCGCACGCTACTGGTGCCCTCCCTGCGCCCCCCGACCCTACGCCTTTAGGACCTGCCCCTGACGACGCCGCTAGAGCCCGCTTTGCCACTCAGCGAGCTGACCAGACGGCTTGGACGTCACGTGACGCTGCGGCCTGCATCGCGCTCAGCAGCCTCCTCCCTGAGTCTGAGGAGGTTCACTTCACTCAGGTTCGCACCGCTGCTGCGTACCTCACTGCGATTAAGGCCCGCTACTCTACTCCCGCTGCTGTCTCTCTTGGCCGCCTGTTCCTCCCGTTCCTGTTTCCTGACCTAGCGTCTTTTGAGCGCTCTGCTGACTTGATCGCTCACCTCCGCTCGCTCGACGCTAGTTACCGCGCTGCTTGCACTGAGGCACAGCTTGCACTGCTTCCTCCCCCTATGGCGATTACTATCTATTTCATCGCCACTAGCCTCCCTGACCGCCTTGCCTCCGTTCGCGACGCGCTTCTGCTGAAGCACCCTAGTGAGCTCACCGTCGAGGTCCTTGAGTCTGCACTCAAGGACGTC